CGAGCGTTCCGGCAGGCACAGCAGCAGAAGACGGCACTGCCCGTGCCGACGGCACCACCCGTGGAGAGGTGACGGAAATGGAGTCCGAGGCTCCGATCGTGCCGCCAGCTTGGACGCGCGATCGTGGGCCTGGAGCATCCTCCACTTCGGCTGCAAGGCCCACCATCACATCGACAGTCTCTACGCGCGCTGACACTCAGTCGGCGCCGCGGAGGAGTCGCTTCGAGACCGCCATCACGCGATTGTCGACGTTTGCAAGCTCCATGCTCGAGCAACCGGCGGAGACCTCGGGCGCCGGTCCGGGTCAGGATGTGCGAGGTGGGAGCCGCAGCGCGCCTCGAGATCGGACGGAAGGGGCAGCGGCTAGCCTGCGCGCTTCGTATGCATTCGCTGGCGATGACGGACAAGGCGTGGACCTGAACAAAGGCCGAGTGCGCATGACCATCAATCTTCCGCTCGTCTCGAACGACATGGAAGCCGCGCGCAAGGCGGGCAGCGCGCAGCTCATTCCCGACTTTGAGAGTCCTTACGTTCGCGTGCGCCACAAGCTCAAGGTCAAGCTTGGGTTTGGGATGAAGTCGAACGTCGCCACAGGCCCGGATGGCGAGGACTGGGTGCAGGCGCTGGTCATGTGCGTCCCCGTGCGATTCACCGAGGCGCCGCCCAGAGAGGTGCAGGAGCAATTTGGACCGGTGAACGGGCTGGCAGGCACGCCGCGGGCGGCAGGATCAGGTTCGCAGAGTGCGCCAGATCGAAGCAGGGATGCTGCCGACACTGTGACCGCTTCGACTGAAGCAATTCCAGGAAACGATGCGACAGCGGCTCAGTCTGCGCCTGGGGCGGCGCCCTCGTTCGTGGAGCCCCTTCTGCCTGCGTACGCACAACTGTTCCGCGAGGACGGCTCGCGTCTGGCCGACGAGGGCGAGGATCTGCCACGCTATCCCGGCCGGATGTCGGTGGTTGGCGAGATCGACGAGGATCTCGGCACCGGTGCTCCGGCCACGGACAGCGAACACGGTGGCGCGATCGCCCACGCCGAGCGTACTGGTCATTCGCTTTCGACGGTGGATGAAGACCATGCGTCGAGCCCGCGTAGATCGTCTGACGAGATGGACGAGCTCGCACACCCCGGCACCGAAGTGTCACCTCACTCCGCCCAGGGATCACCGCCGGACGCAGGCATTTCTGCGTCGAGATCGATGCAGCTGAGCTCGGCGCCTACGCTTATGGACCGTACGACGAGTCTGCCTGGGCACCGCATGCTGACACGCACGATCTCGACGGGTGTGTTTGGGCTGCGCACTTCGCCGTCGCATCCGTCGCTGCCGGGTGCGAGCCAGAGCGCGACGGCGTCGACGTTCCAAGAAGCGAGCGGCAAGGCTCGCGTAGGCTCGTCTGCATTCGACCCGCTGCCCGGGCGTCCGGTTATGCGTCGGCGCTCGGCCACGACGGCGTCGCTCATGACGTTTAGCCGCATCACGCCTGCCGAAGTGCTGGACGAAGCGCTGGTGACGAATGCGCTGGACGATGAAGAGGACCGCATGGACCCGCTGCAGCCCGCGCACGGCCTTGACGGCGTTGGAGGACGTATGGCACGAGGGACGCTCAGCTCCGGTCAGGACGACGATGGAGACGACGTCGAACTCGATGACGACGATGACGATGAGGAGGACGACGCGGAGGTGGTGCACGAGATGGATCTGCATTCGGACGAGGTCGATAGCGGTGTGGACAGCAGCGATCGCGGCCACCACGACGCGCAGCTCAGCGGCAGCGAGGTTGAGCACGAGGGCGACCATGCCGAGATTGGCCGCGCGATGTGAGCGTGCGAGTGCGCAAATTTGTTCATATTGCCGCCAAGCTCTTCAAAAGGTCATGACATCCGCTGGCGCATCAATCGTACCCACGACGTAGCACACACACTGAGTCTCAGACGCTGCTATGTGGGGGACTTGAAATGCACCAACTCTACCTCGTTGTGTCAAGATGCAGTGTATGTGCATTTGATGGCGTGTGTCAGGGAGGCTTATCTCCATGAAGAAAGGCTGCGTTCCGCTCTTTCTGGGTACGCAATGATGCAGTGAGCTTTAAGCGTGGCTTGAAGGGTGGGGCTTGAAATGCAAACCCGAGCTGGTCGAATCACCGAGTCGTTGTGTGAGCTATTGATGGCGCGTATGTGGCGGCGGTGAAAAGCATGTGCAGATGCGCAAACAGTTCGATCCTGGGCGGCTCAGTACGACTATCGCGGTTGACGAGGAGATGAGCTGCTGCGCCAATTTCGCAATGCTGCTGCTTTGCTGGCTAGATGACGACAAGATTGAGCCAGTGCAGGGACGTGGATGATTTGATGCAATGCATGTGCCATACTTGCACGTACAAGACTTTGTGCAACGAAGCATACAGGCGCAAAGGAAGTAAGCATTTGCGCTTGGTACACATTGGCATGGACTAGTGAGCAAGATGGTCGTGCGACGACTTTGGTGGTCGGCAGCATCTTGGAGCCCTGATGGGGAGCAAATCGTGATGCATGAGCTGCCAACAGTGGCGCTGTGGGGCACGATATAAACCACCAAGCCTCGATTTCGCCTCTTCCCACTCCCACACATGCGATCACGACAGCCTAGGTGGGGTCCAGTTACTACCTGTGGGCCGGTCCCTGCTGTGCACCGCTTTTCCAGCTGGCGCTTGAAGCGGACACCCCTCGCCATGCCGTATGAAAGGAACGATCCAGAAAGCTGTAGGATAGTGTCTCGCCACCACAACTAGGTGCTACTTTTGCCCAATGTTCCTCAAGCGGGTTCTTGTTGGTCTCGGGGTGCTTGAGGGTCTGGCTGCGGCTGTCGACCTTGACCCCACGCCGATGATTGTCAACAATGCCCAGTACGAGCTGCACTGTGGAGCAGGCAGTGACCCCAACTATCCGTGCTTCACCTTCATCGGCGGAGACCTCAGGGATGTTCGTGCCGAGATGTATATTGAGGGTGACGCTGTTGGTGACAATGCACCCACCACCGACTTCCTGGTCAAGGACGATCAGATGCAAGGTAAGTATCTCCTCCCTCACAGAGATGGCTTGTTCAGCATGCCGATGGTTTGGTGCTTGTGTGACAGACTTTACTACTACGGATCCCAACAAGAGCTTCTCGATCTATTGGGTTGATTTCGACGTTTCGGTGCTCTAAGAACCCATCGACACGTCCAAGGCGTGCTACAGGATCCAGATC